TTTTGCAGGTCTGCCCTAAGAAAGCTATTGCCAGCTCTGATTAAAGAAATACAGAATTTGGTAAAACAGGACAGGCATTCAGTTCATTTCAAAAAACATACATGAAGTTTCCTAACTGGTAAAGGCAGGTAATTGTGAAGGTGTAAGATCAATTTTCAAGGTAAAGAAAGTGAAAAACCCAAGTTATCTGGGCTTCTAAACTCTCTGGCTTAGCTTTTGAATCATTTAAACAAAAAGTCTCTTTAGCAAAAGAAAAATTAATACACCATCTTTATCTTCATTGTGGCTTGCTTCTAAATCAATGATCAAATATGGAGATAAGGGCATTACAAACTTTTAGCAATTACGGTTAACCAAAGTAGAAGTAAAAAGTTAGAGCTAGTGACAGAACATTGCCGACTTTTTGTAGACGAGAATCAATAAATAGCGATGTGTACTTGTTTTCAACCACAGAAGCGATGGTTTGTAGAATAAAGTATATGGATAGATTTCTTCTTCTAGCACAAGGTGCCATGTAAAGAATATCTGAAGCAACCAACAAAGTTCCTAAAATTGTAAGATGTAGAAATTATATGGTGGAATGACATCTCTCATTGTGTGTTTGTGTTTTATTTCTGAATTTTTATTATGTAAAAATTCAGGAAAGCTGTTGCTACAGAAGTAAAAAGATGTACAGAATCTGAACTGGTACTGATTATCATAGGATAAAATGGATTCAGAAAAATAGCTGCATCAAGGTATGAACTTTTAGCGAACCACATTAGAAGTTATGATCAGTTAGAAGCATACACTGGGCATGCAGTAAGCACCACTGTGAAAAAATGAAACATGGACATGCAAAATGTGCAAAGGAAAAAAGTAACTTAGATTAAAAAACATTTAAAAACAAACTTTTTCAAGATGAAAAGGTTAAACAGTCCTTCAAAATGAGGGCTGTAACTGACATTAAATGCCAATTTGAAGTCTGGGTTCTCTGAGGTCATAGGTTTACATTGTGCCATCACCCAATTCACCCTGTTCTCAAAGAGAATAAGACACTTATGCATACCGTGGCCTGCTCACAGGACTAGCAAATAAGAGAAGCAGAGGGGATGATTTGATGTGTATGCTTACAGTCATATTTCAGATAGGCATGCACCCATAAACTCAAACCCAACTACTAGGTCTAATTTTACACCTATCAGACTGTGCGACCAACGTGCTTCTAGCTAACTCACATGCTAATTATTACATTGTGAGTTCCTTGGGGCATGAAATGAGTCTTTTCTATGGCTCCCATTCTGCAATCAGATCTATGAGGGCAAAATCTTACACTCATACAGAACCCCACAAATTTAAATGGAGTCCGCATGAGTGCGATGATTGGCCAGCACAGAGCAGATTGCAGGAGCAGGGCCTACATTTGCAGAGTGACATGTAAACATATATCTTCAGGAAAATAAATACCTAAATCCAGTAAGCACTAACTGTAAAATTATGCCACATACATCAGATTTCATATTTTGTACTTTGCTGTCTTCACAACTTTACATTTCTTCTTTTTCTTCTACAAACACAAAACTTTTAACCAAAATTTGTTAAGGAAAATTATATTTTTTATTATATTTGCATATAAAGAACAAATAAATTATATACATTCTTGAATGACATGGATATAAACAATTAAAAATTCATGAATTTTTGGTTCATGAATAGAGCTACTCAGCACTATGGTTATACAAATAAACAAATAAATAAATAAATAAAAATAATATAGTTAATATTAGGGCTGTCAAGCAATTAAAAAAATTAATAGTGATCAATCACACGATTAAAAAAATTAATCCCGATTAATTGCGCTATTAAACAATAATAGAATACCATTTATTTAAATATTTTTGGATGTTTTCTACATTGTCAAACATATTGATTTCTATTACAACACAGAATACAAAGTGTACAGTTTATATGTATTTTTATTACATATATTTGCACTGTAAAAAACAAAATAAATAGTATTTTTCAATTCACCTAATACAAGTACTCTAGTGCAATCTCTTTATCATGAAAGTTGAACTTACAAATGTAGAATGATGTACAAAAAAACCCTGCATTCAAAAATAAAATAAGTAAAACTTTACAGCCTACAAGTCCACTCAGTCCTACTTCTTGTTCAGCCAACCGCTCAGACAAACAAGTCTGTTTAAGTTTGCAGAAGATAATGCTGCCTGCTTCTTGTTTACAATGTCACCTGAAAGTGAGAACAGGCGTTTGTATGGCACTGTTGTAGCTGGCTTCGCAAGATATTTATATGCCAGATGCGCTAAAGATTCATATGTCCCTTGATGCTTCACCCACCATTCCAGGGGACATGTGTCCATGCAGATGACGGGTTCTGCTCAATAACAATCCAAAGCAGCGCAGACTGATGCATGTTCATTTTCATCATCTGAGTCAGATGCCACCAGCAGAAGGTTGATTTTCTTTTTTGGTGGTTTGGGTTCTGTAGTTTCTTCATCAGAGTGTTACTCTTTTAAAACTTCTGAAAGCACACTCCACACCCCATCCCTCTCAGCTTTTGGAAGGCACTTCAGATTCTTAAACCTTGGGTTGAGTGCTATAGCCATCTTTAGAAATTTCACATTGGTATCTTCTTTATATTTTGTCAAATTTGCAGTAAATGTGTTCTTAAAACAAACAACATGTGCTGGGTCATCCTCCAAGACTGCTGTAACATGAAATATATGGCAGAATGCAGGTAAAACAGAGCAGGAGACATACAATTCTCCCCCAAGGAGTTCAGTCACAAATTTAATTAACGCATTATTTTTTTAACAAGCGTCATCAGCATGGAAGCATGTCCTCTGGAATGATGGCTGAAGCATGAAAAGGCATATGAATCTTTAGCGCGTCTGGCACATAAATATCTTGCGACCATGTGAAGACCTGTTCTCACTTACAGGGGACATTGTAATTAAGAAGTGGGCAGCATTATCTCCCATAAATGTAAACAAACTTGTTTCTCTTAGCGATTGGCTGAACAAGAAGAAGGACTGGGTGGACTTGTAGGCTCTAAAGTTTTACATTGTTTTGTTTTTGAGTACAGTTATGTAACAAAAAAAATACGTTTCTAAGTTGCACCCTCATGATAAAGAGATTGCATGAGATGAACTGAAAAATACTATTTCTTTTATCATTTTTACAGTGCAAATATTTGTAAAAAATAAAGTGAGCACTGTACACTTTGTATTCTGTGTTGTAATTGAAATAGATCTAAAATGTAGAAAAATATCAAAAATATTTAATAAATTTCAATTTGTATTCTATTGTTTAACAGTGCAATTGTGATTTTTTTAAATTGCAATAAATTTTTTGAGTTAATTGCATGAGTTAACTGCAATTAAACAACAGCCCTAGTTAATATATATCATGCATAATGTTAAGATGAGCATGAGAAGTACCTACACAATAAACGACATCCTAATGCCCAGATTCATAACAGATAAACAAATGAATTTCTCCCATGCTTTAATACAGTAGACTAGGGACCGGCAACTTTTGGCATGTGGCCTTCCAGGGTAAGCCCCCTGACAGGCCAGGCCTGTTTGTTTACCTGCCGCGTCTGCAGGTTCGGCCGATTGCAGCTGTCACTGGCCGCGGTTCGCCGCTCCAGGCCAATGGGGGCTGTGGGAAGCGGTGGCCAGCACATCCCTCAGCCTGCGCCACTTCCCACAGCCCCCATTGTCCTGGAGGGGCAAACCGCAGCCAGTGGGAGCTGCAATCGGCCAAATCTGCGGACGCGGCAGGTAAACAAACTGGCCTGGCCTGCCAGGGGGCTTACCATGGTGGGCTGCGTGCCAAAGATTGCCGATCCCTGCAGTAGACTAAACCTATTTGTCTTCTGTGTTTTAAAATAATGTTATAATTATGTTAGAAAGAAAACCTGTTTTCTGCAGAGACATTTACTGAAGAGTAACAGAACATGAGGCAGTATTCTATCCTTCCCTATGGCAACACTATCTTCTGATTTTCATTATTGCACAAAAAATACATTAAAAACATATATGTACAAGCATATCATTTCACTAGGCACGTATAATTTCACTTTGCAGCCTAGAACACTGGATCATTTATTCTGCATGAAATTTACTCTTTTTTTGTACGCATTAGTCTCCTCATGCTTAATAGCATAAATGCTCCTTGAGATGCACAGGAATTTTGAAATTGCAGGATACCACAAATATAATTTCGAGGTGAGGGTTAGGCTAATGCACTGATCCATTTAATATGTGTGGCAAATTGCTGGCACTACTATGATGGGTCTCACGCTTTCTATTTTTTTTTTGGGGGGGGTGTTTCAGGGCACCATTTCTTGCCCCTGAACTGGGGTATTAACTGCCCCACTAGTGTCCTAGAGGAGGGGAGGGGAGTGGAGAGGGAGGGACCCGGACCCGCCCCCTACTCCGGGTCCCAGCCCAAGGGCCCCAGGGATAGCAGTAAACCACTTGAACTAGAGGTTCCTTCCCCTGGGCTACTTCCCTCTCCTGCCCTTCAACTTGTGGGGCTTCCTGCCCTCCATCTGCACAAACCAGGCGTCCCTTTACCTTTGTCTTGGTCTTCTTAGCCCACCGCAGCACTTTTCCAAACTCTCCTCTGCTTCCCTCCAAACTGCTGTCTGCTCCAACACCAAACCACTCTGCTTCAACTCCTCCTCTTGTCTGATTGAAGCAGTGGGTTTTTATAAGGTGACTGGCTTCAGGTGCTTTAATTAATCTATAGCAAACTTTCTTCCCTCTACAGAAAATAAGGGTCCCATCTAACACTCTCCTGCTGCCCTCTGGCCATGCTGTATCACATATGCTAAAAATCAAAATTATCTTGTGATGAGGTGGGAGTGAAAGAAGAATATGACATTTACTGTACAGTTGGTTTAATCTTTTCTGATACATTAAAGATTCAAAGAAAAGTAAATGAATTTCTCGGAACTAAAATCTACAAAAATGATATAAAAAGAAACTTACCTGCATAAAAATTCCTGAATTATTTTTGTAATAAACTGAATAATATTGTATAATCCCATTAGGCCTTTGAGGAGGGGACCAGAAAACCATTATTGATGATGCAGTGAGGTTTCTGTACATGACATCTTTTGGTGGATCACTTGGTGCTGGAATAATATTAAGATTTAGCTTATGTAACATAAGGTTTTGTGCTTTTTATTACCCAAATTTAGACTTCATTGATTTGAAAAAAATCCTGTATTAAATCAAATGTATTTATGAAATTATTGAATATCAGATCCTGTTTCTGGAGGAGGTGGAAAAGGTACAATTGAACTAATGGCTACCATACACTTTGAAAGCCCTGATTTTCAAAGACATTCATTTTTCAGAGAGAGTCAAAGACATGCATACATTTGCATGCACAAATCCAAGTTTATGGACTCAGTGAACCTGTGAAACTTGAGATTTGTAAGTGCATGTACTTACTGTTTTATGCAAATATAAATCCCAATTCATACATGTGCACAAAGCATTATGTATGCATGCAATCTTCTTAACAAACGTGTTTCATGTGTATACAGAGTCCTTTATGCTTGTTTCATTAACTAAAATAAGTTTTTCACACTTTTTACTACCATTAGCATTGCAGAGCCAATACAGCTAGGGAACTGTGAGTTGGATTCTATTATAGATCACACCATCATTCACAGAATTATTGACTAAGATACCGATCCTACAAATGACTATGTGAAGACAAAGCCATGTGCTTATTCAGAGCCACACTTGGGCCAGTGAGGCTCCACAAAGGTGCAGAGATACATGCACACAGTTAATTGAAGGATGGGACCTAAGTTTCAGTGGCAAAATTGTTATTGTTGGTGACATCAGAGCCAGAAAGGAACTAGCTTGAATTTCAAAGTTGAGCGTACAGTGTTGCCTCCTAGAAAAAAAGACCTTTCACTTCTGAAGTATATGAAATTCATTGGGATCAAATCAACTTGGAATCCCACAATGCCATGTTTATAAAACTGCTTTCCGACTACAACCACTTTACACCTGTGTTTGTGAGAGACACACTAAAACTGTGAAGGTTTTCCTTCTCAGGACCTTATTTCACAGCTTGATAGAACAAAGAGCAATAAAACCAAATTCCCCTCTTTTTACTTCATGAGAAAAAGCAATATAAAAAGCCTTTGAAATGTAAATGTCTTGCAGGGAAATGTAGTGCTCTGTTTGATGAAGAGACATCAGACATTCGAACGTTCTTAGATAGCCAATCAAATGGCAGCTTTCACCTAAGTTATTTTATATGTTTAAATAAGGTTGACACAAACTTATGGATGCAACTATAGATTTTTTTATATGATTTATTACGATACATAAACTTACCTCCTTCAGAAGTTCTGAAGCTTATAATGCTACTTTTTATGTTTCCATCCCCAAATCTGGTACTTGTTGTTATATAAATTTTGTATTCATTGTTATTTTCTAGGTCTGTGAATATCAGTGATGTTTCAGTTACATTAACACTTCTTTTTGATATTGTATTCCTAAAGAAGAAAATCGTTACATATATACGTTTTCATGACAAAACTGCAGCATGGTATAATACATTTTACTAAAAACACCACAGAAAACAATATTGTCATATACAGAAACTCATAAAATAGAAATAGAACTTTCATCTACAGTAAATCCATCATATTATTCAAAAAATTATCAAAGATGTTGAGTTTAAAAAGGCACTTCTCACAAATCAAATAAGAAACAAGCCTTAGCCAAAACTACAGAAATTCATTAGCGCTAGATAGCTAACACAACTGAAACCAACATTTCTTAAATTCCTGTAACTTATAAATATTGTATTTCTTGCAAGAAAACCATTAAAAAGTGATTATTTTGTTTTACTATTAGCTCACATTTGAGTTCTTCATTGTGGATTCCTGGCTTCATTCATTCAATGCTAAATTTTCCACAGCTAATGTAACATAGTTGTTAGAATGTTTAGATAATTTTCTTCTACACTTTCAAATGCCCCCCATTCACTATCTTTGCCTCTTTACCTGGTATTAGGAAGCTCTTGCATTAGTTATATCCACTGGAAAATGTTGCCACTAAGAAAAGTTGTGGTTCAAGAGCTTGTTTGCCATATCAGCCCTAGTAATTAATTATGATTATTTTATAGCACCCAAAAGTGTTCTAAATAATTTAAAAGACAAGAGGTGAAATCCTGGCTCCACACAAGTCAGTGGGAGTTTTCACCCAAGGTCCTTACCTCAAAGAGCTAATCGCAATCTAATTTTAGATGTGAGAGGGTATGTGGGGATAAGACACAGAAGGGAATAGATGGAGAGGGCAAGGACAAAGGCGACATCAGTGAAGTTCTGTGGTTACTTAATTTAGGCATCTGCAGATATAGATGGTTCAATTAACAAGTTATTGAAAAATGATTAATAATGATACATTCTGTAGTAATCACAGATATAATAAGTCTTAAGGAAGGATTTGAATGAAGAAGAAGTTCCTTGATCCTGAATATCCTTAGGTCTTTAAACACAGTATGCATCAAAACCATATTCCTTAACATGAGGGAGATCTGTTTGTGCTACAAGTTCATCCACAGTTCAAAGTTCTCCACTGATGCAGATGACATTAACTCTTGTCAGTACAGTGGAAGGAGCAGTGGAAAGCCAATTTATACTCTTCTGGAGAGTGGGATTACTTGTGTTTACCTTATCATTATTTTAAAGCAGAAGTTCATAACTAAGAAAAAAGATAAAAATTTGCTACCGCCAGGAGAAACTTTTAGGTCACCTTTAAAAACTTTTAGGCCACCTAAAAAAAAGCAAACTTTTAGGTCACCTTTAAAGGAGTGCATATTTAGTAGTAATATATCTATAAGAACTCCTCATCTGTAACACAATACCATTTTGCATACATAATTTACATTGCAGGGTATGTATTTCTGTAGCTATTTGCCCCTATGTGTTGGGTAATGGCAATAGAAGAGCACAGCATAAATACAATAACTAACTGTAATCAACAATCAAAATAAACAAGTCAACATGTGTGAAGGCCGTCCCCAGTAAAGGCAATATGCAGCGCTTACAAAAGGAAGATATGACAAATCTTTAGAACAAGTAGTGTTCAGAAGAAGAGAGTGAAAAAAAGTTTTAAACTGGGATTTAAAATGACAATAGTCTTTTTTTGAAGGAGGAAGAGACAGATCCCAAGAGGCATGAATATAATATAATATAATATCCAGCACTTATAATGAGTGTTATAACAGAGTTGAGAAGAAGACAGATAAGATGGTATAGTAACAAAGTATTGGGAAGTGCTGAAGTAGCAGGAAACATGATGTGTATAAAATATCACGCTATATATATATATAATGTCAGAGAGTGGACAGGGACTGCTACTATCACAACTCCTTGCTTGCTCAGACCACTGAATGGGAGATGAAACAGCATTTTTCAGTGGTTCTTGGCCATCTCCATTCCATCTTCAGATGGAAATATTAGCAGACCCCAAACAGTAGTGTTTGTTGGTGTCTCATTTTATCATTAATTAGATTCCAAATGGTCCAATTAATATGTGAGGATGGGAGATCACCAGCTAATTTAAATATAAACTCATTTTGCAAAACCCCAAATATTTGAAAAAATATTTTAGATGCTTGTAATCATTTAATTCTACAATTTTCACCTGCCCCTATTTAGAGGGGCATTTGTGTATATGAAAGCTAGTATTTTAAGTAACTTATCAATATTCACTCTCAAAAATGTATATTCAACAAGGTCTGTAAGAAAAAACTTACATTCCTTTTAGATTACAGATTAATATTTATCCTCAGAACCATTTCCAGAAAATCTTACCAGACATAAACTGTGTAATAGAGGATAATTCCATTTGGCTCCAGTGGTTGTTTCCATGACAACTTCACAGTGACACCCGACAACTGTTTTACTGAGAGGGATTGTGGAGGTGAACTAGGAGCTATAAAGTGAGAGTGCAGAACACAACAACTTGTTAAACAGCTAAGATCTGAGTGGCATGGTTAAGTGAAGTATCTTTAAATAGGATTTTAATTATTTGTGCTAGGACGTGAATTATGGAAGCACACAGGTACAGTATCCATATCAAATGGTGTTATAGCCAGCCTTCTTTACTTTTTCAGCCAGAAGATAAAGGAAGATTTTTCATGCTAGTGTTAAAACATCTGTTTCTGTGATTCAATGGAAAAAAATATTTCATGAGAAAACAGAGCAATTGGTTTGTCATACTGATTCACCTACTGTCCAAGTATATTGTAATTTTCCCCCTTCTAATAAAAGCAAGAGCTTTTTAGGTGTGAATGCATGTAAAATATAACAAAATAGTTCCCCTGAGGAGAAGTGGAGCTGGAAATAATTATATGAAGCACCAAAAGATGGGAAAATTGATGAGCATAGCATTGAGAGATGATAAAAATGTGGGATACCATGCAGAGTTAAATCTTTTCACTCCATCAAACAAGGAACACATTCATACATTTAACATGTCATGAAAGAAAATATACATGTATTCAATGAATGAGACACCTGAAATTCATTCTAAGATGAACACCAGACAGCAGTATAACCACTAAGTACTGAGAGAGCACAGCTGAATAAAAACGTTATAATACATTTTTATTTCATTCTAATTAAAATAGTTAAGGTTCATGCAAATGTTGCTGTGATGAAAATGTATCCGTATGTATGCTTAGTAATAATGATATTTTCCACTAAGGTAGGAAGTAAAAACTGTTTTTGTTTTTTTTCTACCAGATAAAGGTATTGCACTGTGTTGTAATGTTAACATTACTTTTGTTTTTCAAATTAAACAAAACAGCATCATGTACTAAAAATTCAGGTCATGGCTGTGGTCATGCATGGAAATTGAGAACATAAGCATAGCTATTAGCAAATCTGTGAAGCATTTGGTCTAATGCTCTGAACAGTGTGTACTTTTGAGTAAGATACATGTGGCATATTATAAATATTTTTGTTGCTCTTCCTTTAATTGCACTGT